GAGCAAGCGGCCACAAGGCACTGCACCTCTGTTGCAACCAACGTGTATCTTATGAAATATGAATCGCTTTAGTTAGATTCCCGACGTTGGGAAATGTTTCAAATGCGGGTGAACGTTGCGTTTTGCGGTCAAGGCTGCGAGCGCGGAGTGTCGAATGCTCTGACCTTTCTTACAATGTGCCAGCGGTAGGCGGATGGGTTAATCAAGAATTTCCATTGTCCATTTTCTATTGTTTTTCTTTTTCTTATATTTAACGCAATTTGTTTTTATCCCCTTAATGGTTCTATTTAAAATTCGAATTCAGTAAATTTGATTAAATGAAGTTCTATAACCATTTTTAACATTAACGTTTATGTAAAAAAAAAACCAGGACGTGTGAATTTTCTCACTCAAATATTATTCACGAATTCTTTTTGTAAAAATATTATAATTACTTTATTTTTCTCGACAAAGACCATCATAGCCGTAAAACCAGCTTATATAGGTATACTTTATAAGATGAAAATTATTTCCTCGTGACCCTTTTTTCACGTTTATTTTATTAGACAAATACATGATGTTTGTTATCTCTCCAAAAATTTATAGAAATCGAGTTTTCTATAAATGATGTAAAGTACCTACCTAATAGTTTAGTCTAGATGTGTCGTATGTAAGTATTTCATTTTTTTAAGCAAGGAATGATGAAAAATATTGAAGAAGTAGCCGTGTAATGGCGGCGTAAGGGGATCCATTAACTCATACTATCATCGCATCAACGATGCGTGGATGCTGTCCATAAGGCGACGGAGAGAAACGAAACTGGAGGTGGGCAGCGGTAACTTTCTGATAATCACACAAAATAATAATATGTGTAAATAAAAATAGCAAACAAGCTTTGGAAATGAAGACCACTTCAAAAAAATCAACTTAAAATAACTTGCTACACTAAGCAATACTTACTTTACTAGTACTAAAACGGATAAAATATTTACTATATAATAATAATAATGTCAACTGTCAGAATGGCGTTGATAAGGCAAAACGCTTGTGACCCTTTATTATTTGATTATCCGATGAAGAGCTATCGTATCACAGAGCCATCTTCGCAAACAAGGCTGTAGTTTTCGAGTTATAACAAAGTGTACATATTGACCGGATCACCATACCTCTACTTCACTTACTATAAAGATTTTCTTAAATCTAAATTACTATTATCTAATTAACGCTACGTTAACAGATACCGGTGAAGTCGGGCCGGGTCGCTGGATAACAATAAATTTGATCTCCCTGTGTATGTAGTTCGAATATTTATAATTTATTCATTGAAACAAGGGAGGAAAACTGCCTTTTTCTCCCGATAAAGAACGCGTTCGCTGAGCAATGATTTCATGTTAATCTGTCAAATTCCATATAATATATATAATACACCAGTAAACTTTAATAGAGAGATATGACTGCCTATTTGACTTAGTGGTCTTAAATACGACCGCCAATACTAAGTTCCCGGTCCAAGTAAATTTGATTATTAGAATCCCATTAAAAAGCAATCAGAAAAAGAAATAAAAACCGGCCAAGAGCGTGTCGGGCCACGCTCAGTGTAGGGTTCCGTAGTTTCCCGTCCGTCACAATAAGTGTTCCCACTTATGAGTTTAAAGGTGGGTATCCATTATGTTCGCGCTCCAGCAGCGCTCCGCGCTCCTGCAACTGCTCCCGGTAGTGGGTACGTGCGCGAACATGAAGCGTGCAACATTGCACGCTCCGCGACAGGCGATGCCAAGGAGAGACCAACCGAACAATTCGATAATACCCGACCCAATGTAATTAGTGCCTACAGCGCCATCTCTCGGGGGAATTGGGTTACTAATTAATACATAGACGTGCCAGAAGTTTTCGGTGATAATTTTGGATTGTGAGAACCGATTTTAATAATTCTTTTTTTTGTTTGAAAAAAGATACGTTCAGGATAATGAAATATGTAAACGATGTTAAAAAAAAATGCCTGCTTAAACGATTATACTACAAACTTGTCCAGAAATTATTTTGTACAACTTTTTGTCTTTTTTTGTACAAAAACTGTTTCCATCCAGGTTCAAAATAATTTTCCTAGAAAGTCCTTATAAAGTTCAACTTTTCAGATTTTTTTCATATTTTCTAAACCTATGGTTCAAAAGTTAAAGGGGGGGGGGACACATTGTTTTTTTACTTTTGGAGCGATTATTTCCGAAGTTATTGACATTATCAAAAAATGATTTTAGTAAACCCCTATTCATTTTTAAATACCTTTCCAACAATATATCACATGTAAGGGTTGAAATTAAAAAAAAATCACTTCCCACTTTACATATAGGGGGGCTACCCTAATAAAACATTTTTTTTCCAATTTTTATTTTACCACTTTGTCGGCGTGATTGATACACTAATTGGTACCAAATTTCAGCTTTCTAGTGCTAACGGTCACAGAGATTAAGCGAGGACGGACAGACGGACAGACAGACATGGCGAAACTATAAGGGTTCCTAGGTGTTTTTACGTGGTAGAGCCATGCTGCAGTTATATTAGTAGTATAGCTGTAGCACGAATGGGTCGGCTCGACCGGGGAAGGACCACGCTCTCACAGAATACCAGCGTGAAATAGTAGCTTAATGCTGCTGTATTTCGTATGGTGAGTGTAGAGAACCGGAGACCCTTTTTACTGGAAACGAGGCATTCCATCTTAGTCCTCACTGGTGACAACGCATCTGCATTTTGATTTGTAATCGAGGATAGATGTAGATGTCTATGGGCCACAGCAACCACTTACCATCAGGTGGACTGTGTGCTCGTTTGTCACCCTAGCCTATAAAAAAAAAAAAAAAAAAAAAAAAAAAAAAGTTGACTACGGAACCCTAAAAAAAAAGATTTATTACGTGCGGGGCGCGTGAATATTTGTTTTATTTGTAATAGGAAAAGTGTGACAAGGGAGCACACAGTCCACCTGATGGTAAGTGGTTGCTGTGGCTCTTAGATATCTACATCTATCCTCGTTTGCGAATCAAAATGCAGATGCGTTGTCGGCCTTGAGAATCTGCATTTTGATTCGTAATCGAGGATAGATGTAAATGTCTATGGGTCACAACATCCACTTACCATCAGGTGGACTGTGAGCTCGTTAGTCTTCGTTGTTTTATAAAAAAATCATTATGTTTACCACACGCACAGCAAGCGTAGACTTTATCATTTTTAATCATTGAGCTTCTTCGCAGAGTCGTCATATAGCAGATATTCAAATTTTTGTCATCTTGGACGTAATAATACTTACGTAACTTTTGGTTTGATCATGTGTTTTTAATCTCAAAAGAAAAAAAGGCCAATAAGCTCTTGATTACAAAGAAGATAGATATATTTTGGAACAAAACCTTAAAACTGTTATTATTTACTTGCCACTCAATCAAATCGGCCTTTCTACCAACAGTCGAAGCATTTCTATTTCGAAGTTACATTTTGAGTCAGTAGCTAGTACTCCATTTTAGTAGTGAACTGTAGTAGCATGTACTTAATTTTAAGGCGTTGTCTAACCAGCCAACCTATAAGTAAGCAGTTCTAGAAATAAGTAATAAGTACCTGGATGACCGAGCTTTCCTCGGTATTTTTTTTTGGAAATCGTGTGTTTTGGATAATAATATAATTATTATAATAATAATAATATTCCACAAATATCACACAACGCCATCTAGTCCCAAGTTAAGCAGAGCTTGTGTTATGGGTACTAGACAACTGATGAACATACTTATATATTTCTAAATACATAAATATTATAGATAAATTACACCCAGACACAGAACAAATGATCGTGCTCATCACACAAACATTTGTCCTGGGTGGGAATCGAACCCACGACCTCCGGCATGGCAGTCAGGGTCACTAACCACTAGACCAACAGGCCAGTCGAATTTTGGAAATTTTGTAAATTATATTTAGATACAAATTACATACTGATGAAACATCAAAAATATTTTTTGATCTTATTGACATAATAGAAAAAAACTGAACTGGTTATTTGAATAAAAAATCATGAGTGCAATTAGTTTAATTTAAATTCACGTGTTTTTAAAAAATATTAAAAAAAGGGCTCGACATAATAGATTTTCTCACAAAACAAGGGAACATGATAAAAAAAGGAAAAAAGTCTGACCGAAGACGGGACGACCTGGGGAACCAGGGCACCTCGATTTCACAACCGTCGAATGTCACACATGAGCCATTACGATCTTTAATACACTGCCAAAATTTACCTTCTTATATTGTAGCAGTTTTTCATTGCCTAAACCCCCTGGACACTAAATTTTATGAAAATCGTTGTAGCCGTTTCCGAGATTCCGATTATATATATATATATAAAAAAAAAAAAAAAAAATATATATATACATAGAAATATAAGATACACAGAACCTTTATCGACTCTACATTTTCTAGAATTTTTAATTATATTAAACCAGCGCTAGACTACTATCCCAGTCTAATAACAATTCTGAAAACATCGCAATCATACTCTTGACACGAGACGGAAGCAAGGTACAGTGGGTAAAGGTTCTATCTACTTTGAGGTTTTCTTCCTACTCTATGCCTTTGGCATAAGTTTTCTATTAAATCGAATTGCTAACGCCATCGCTTGACTTTGTATTACAAAACGTAGTTTCATTTACGTCCACAAGGGGCGCTGTTAATATTTTCATAAAAATAATAATTATATGGGTAGGTATTTACCATAGATTTAGTATATACTTACATATTTACATATAATTTTAGTCGCGAATAGCGCCCTTGGCCGACGTAAATCTAACTATATTTCGTAATATAAAGACACTCGATTATGACGAATTCGATTCGACAGAATATTCATGCTCTTTGGTTAATTTATAACTTTGACAAAAGGTTAGAAATGTCAGTCGAATAAAATGTTATTTAAATATTTCCTTATAATATTCGTCGCGTAATTTGAATTGAATTGTGTGTGTGAAAATGTTTATTAATTTAAAATACAGAGATGAACCGGAACTGTCTAACATTCGAAGACGTTCTTCTGAAACGGACTTATCAACTGAGCAGACACTCCTCGTCAACCCAGATTGCCACGTACGGGTGATGTTGGAGTACATAAGAAAGAAATGCAGGTTAGGGATCTACACCCACTTCGATCTGTGCGATGAGACTGGAGCATTGAAAGAACTGTTCAGTCTGCCGGCACACACGAACGTGGCGAACTTGTTTGAGCACAGGAAGACGTACTATATAATCGTTTTAAAACAGGTAAGAGATGTTTTTGTACATCCGTACACGGAATCATCGTTATGACGACGATCATGTTTTTCAAGTTGATTTCGACAAAAACATTCTTATACGTGGTAATGCAGCTTCACAGCTATATTATGGTTGTAGTACGAATGGGTACCGGGGAAGGACCACGCTCTCACAGTTTACTAAAAGCGTTAAATAGTATCAATTAAAAATCAAAATACAGATGCCATCACTCCTGAGGAGTGACGAAGTACCTCGTTTCTAATAAAAATAATCTCGTTTGTCGACATTCACATACAAAACACAACAGCATTAAGCTGTTATTTTACGCTGGTATTCTATGAGAGCCTGTTCTTTACCCGGTCAAGCCGATCCATTCGTGCTACAAGAATAATATAGCTGCAGCAAGGTTCTATCAAAATAAAGCTCTAGCAGTGTCGGTCGGGCCTAGCCGTTCAAAGTGTATAATGTGAGTGCGCTCTACCGCTGATTGCAAACGGTTTCGAAATTACGGCACCCCAGTGCCAGCTTCTTCCACTTGACCGCATCCACCGATTTCTTTCTGATCGGCTTGATACACTGGTGCTGCTGGCTTTGCGTTTTCTATCGTATATACCACGGGGAATGTTCTGAGCACATAAATAGTAATATTAAGAAAATAGAAATGACTAATTGAAAGTTTAGGAGGTATCATAGTAAAGTATTTATCTAGTTGTAAATTAGTTAAAACAATGATAATTAGTAAATAATCAACTAACTGATGAAATGTTTTATATATTGCTCCTTTATTGGTTGAATTACACGTCTTTGGTGAGTTTTTACAACTGACTATGCTGCAGTTCACTTTTATAATAACATAAATTGACGTACTACGTTCCCCGCGTAATTAAATCACAAAATGGTGAATGATATTCGTAAACACATCATGGCGACAAATTCACGCGTCTATGCAACTTTTTTATCTTATTATTAGTACTTCTGTAGTTCTGAGGAATTGTTCGGATTAGTTCCAGCCGCCAAATTTCGTGAAGGCACATCGCGTCAAAATTCACGATACCATTCACACCATTTGGATGCTTGGCTGTCCACCACTGTGCGTTTTACTAGAAGTTTTCTTCCTTGTACAACTACTCTGTGAAATTTTTTATCACTGGCGATTTTTCCGGAACGATACGACTTCGAGACCTTCAAGAAAAGAGCTTAATCCTTTCTAAAAGGCCGATAACACACGTGCAATTCCCCTGGTGTGGCAGTTGTTTGTGGGCGACGGTAGTCACTTACCATCAAGTGAGCCACATGCTCGTTTGCCCGCTCTTCTATATAAAAAATAACAAATGCTCGCTAAAGAACACCGATTCCTTCCAAGGTTGATTCGCAAGGCTATTGAAAACAAATAGCACCCTAATTTCAACTGAGAAAATTGCTGGACGCTACAATCTGCTTGGGATCCTATAATTAATAAAATTTAAACCCAACCCAAGCATACAACTGCAAGAGTTCAATCCTAATATATATAAATTACGTGTCACGTTGTTTGTCCGCGATGGAATCTCAAACTACTTAACCGATTTTAATCGAATTTGCACACCATATGTAGTTTGGTCTAACTTGAGAGATAGGATAGTTTTTTTGCCCATGAGTTACCCACAATTTTTGTTTTGCGAATTTAAGGATTTTTAATAGGACATGACAAAGGGTCGTCAAAACGTTGTCAAAACGACAAGACGTTGTTCTGCCCTTTTAAGCTAGTATACTACAATATATAAATATTGCGTATATCGGAACAAAAATTAATAACTTTAATCTGTGGTAACCGCGGTCAACTATGACATCTGGAAGTTGAATATCTCAGTCCCCTTCATGACCATGTGTGCTGTAAAGTGCTCAAAACGTGGAGAATATAAAAAAATTCAAAAAAAATCCGAGCATAGCCCTTTCAATCGCAAGCTGTGTGACTGAGCTTTGGCCAGCAGTCGAATAGAGTCATTATACATATTGATTTTTCAATCATCACATTAAAATACAACAAAACCTAAATGAAAAGTACAAATATTACAGTACACGGGCACAGTCTTTCTCTCATTTCTAAGTTTTTAGTGCAACGAACAGTCGCCGTTACAAAATTTTGATACATGTTACTAGAAACAGAAACAAGCAAGACCCGTTTTCTGTTCTCTATTTTCCTAATATATTATAGCGACTACTAAAGAAAAACTTAGCGTCTAATATATTTACGTAACGTTGATTAACAGCACTTCAACTCAAAGATAATTATATCATTCCATGCAATCTACCTGTATGAGCGCCTCAGACGTTGGTTTGTCCACACCCCGACTAGCAATTTCCTGTTAGGGGCTGATGTTTTTTATAGAATAAGGGTGATAAACGAGCACACAGTTCACCTGATGGTAAGTGGATGCTGTGGCCCATAGATCTCTCCTCGATTAAGAATCGAAATGCAGATGCGTTGTCACTTGTCACCCCTGATTACTAAGATGGAATGCACCATTTACAGTAAATAAAGGGTCTTCGGTTCTCTACACTCACCATACGAAACGCAGCCGTATTAAGCTGCTATTTTACGCTGGTATTCTGTGAGAGCGTGGTCCTTCCCCGGTTGAGCCGACCTATTCGTGCTTTAACCATAATATAGCTGCAGTGTGGCTCTGCCGCGTATACGAAATTACATATTGCGACAAGTATTTTAAATTGTCTGACCCTCATCATTAATTTCATAGGTGTTTGCAATTCAGTGATATAAAGTTGCGACAGTGAAAGCTACAAGGCCGTTCACCTGAATTTCATCTCTCGATTCTGCATGTAGCAGATTACTTAACTACAGCCTGGTGAATGTGGGCTTTCCACTTTGTAGCAAGGTTTGCTCTAATCGCCACGCTCAGCTGACGGATTGGCGATAGCAGTATCAGACGTCTAGTAAATATCACGCACTTAGAGTAGCTTGCTTATATTAAATCACGCAGTTCCCCGGCATCGATGTAACTATTTTACGATTGGCCTTAACGGAATCGTTAGAAAAGTTTGTTTTAGACCAGTATTTTTTTAAAGCGCCTTTAGTCTAGGAATTTCTCCTGTGCCGTGGAGGCAGTTTACAGACATAAACTGCACAAGGACCCAAAACATTCAGACCCGGAACAAATTGTCGCTGACGCCGGAAACGGACGAACCTCAATTTTTAGAAAATTACAGGAGAGGAAGTAAACCTTTACTATTCCCCAATTAGGTACTAGTTTTTTCATTAGAAAATTAATTGTATTTGTAGTTTTCGCCGTATATAATTAGACGTGTTATAACCTACCTTAATTTTGTAATTTTAACCGAGTTCAAAACAACGAGAAGATTATATTTTTGACGCCTATGTTTTATTTAGTGATGCTCATCGATTTCTCGGAACTGGTTAAGCCGTTTTTAAGATTTTTTTTTATTAAATAGGTTAATACTTCAGGAATGATCCCATATAAATTTAAAGAAAATAAATCCGACCCTAAGGCTGGAATAACAGGGAATAAAGATTTTAAAGTGCCTTTCTATAAGACATTCTAGTAGTCACTTTGAACTTATGATATTCGGTAGAAGACACAAAAGGGTTAAAGATTGAAACTTAATAAAAGTAGAGCCTACTCCAAAAATTAAAACAAAAAAATATATCCATGTAATAGCTTCTGAAGCGGGGGCGTAAAGCCAGACTTAATTCTCCAATACACTGTCTTAGCATCAACTTTATAATCTATTAAGTAAAAAAATTATTTGTACATATAATATTATATATTTTACTTTATATTTTTATCAAAAGGAACGAACAAACAAAATATTCTCTCATATATCTCATTAATTTCATGTTTGGGTGGAGAGTGGTGGTGTGAACAATTGTCTTATCTGAGTAAGACTTATTTACAAATAATAATTCAAAGTTACATAACGTCTAAAAATAAAAATAAAAAAACATGAAAATATAAAACAATAAAATTATCTGTGATATGTATCTATCTTACGCGCTATATATGTAATTGCGCTCAAGTTTAAACATTAAGGCCGACGTTGTTTATTTCACCCGGCCTTCACCCTAACCATTGTGTCCGTAAAGTGAGAAGAGCGAGTAATGTATATTTTTTTATAGTATAGGGGTGACAAACGAGCACACAGTACACCTGATGGTACGTAGATGCCGTGGCCCGTAAACAACTATATTTATCATCAATTAACAATCAAAATGCAGATGCGATGTCACTCATGATGACTAAGATTAAATGCCTTGTTTCCAGTAAAAAGGGTCTTCATTTCTAATCACTCACCATGCTAATCACAGCAGCATTAAGTTGCTATTTTACGATGGTATTCTATGAGAGTGTAGTCCTTCCGCGGGCGAAAAGATCCATTCGTGCTACAGCCATAATTTAGCCTGGCTCTATATATTTTTTATTTTATATATTTTATATTTGAAATTACTAATACTCCCTTTAACCTCTCCTGGTAAGGTTAGAATGCTAGTGTTAGGAGTGGTTCATGACAGTCGGATGGCGGATTCGAAACCACGACCTATACACCCATGAATTTGCGTTCTGTACCCTGTCATGAAGTTACTGTCGCTTCTAAATGTATATGCCTAATAATGGTCAATGGACATCATCACGTGAAAAACGACAATTGAAATACCTTTTTAATATTTATTTCATAAGGAGAGGAATAAAAGTAAAACTTACATCATTCGTAAGGTACTGTGGCATAGATATGCACAAAAATCATGTGCTAAAGTGACCATACACCCGTGATTTTGTCATACAATAGGCTTAACCAACAATATGATTTTATGAGCTAAGATCCCTTTGTCTTCCCTGCACGAGAATAGATTTAAAAAAAAAAGAAAACGATTGTCAATTTTCATTAGTACTGGTTTTTTTGCGAGTATTGTGATCGATGGAATCTAATCTTTAACATGTTATCAGACTGCCTTTATGAACATCACCCCGAATAGTAGAGAATTGAAAATAACTTAAAATTAAATGAGTACACAGTTCAACATAAGCCTCCCTCATACATTGCCTTGTACGGAGGATATTTGCTGTAGTTCGCACACTGGGCGGGCAAGCTAGCCACTGCATTGTTTTATTATTTCGAATTGTTGTCAGGAAGATACTGTTGCCCATACCTATCCTGTTTAACTTAACCGTTGCCTCACACGACACCTATGGAAAGAAATAAAAGAAAGAAAGATAGATAAAAAGAAAGAAAAATTTATTTGACCAACACACAGCATTAAGAAACATAGAAATTCGTACAAATCACAAATTGGTAATTATGCAGTTTTTGCGTGATGTCAAAAAGGATTACGCCGCAGTGATAATCTGTAGGGCACCATAGCACTAGTTTTCAGTCCGGACCTTAACACTTTCACCTTAACACTTTCACTGCTCGATGGGCAGACACAATAGTAAGTCAATAGCAGTGATTCATATGTGGTATTCATATACGGTACAGGGAAAGGGTTAATTGACTCACATACAACCAAGCACTGATATAGAAAAGCACTTAAAGTAACAAAAAATGAAATATTAAAACAATAATAATTATTGTAGACCTAGAAGGTATATTGCTATACGCCCAGGATATACGATCAAAGTTTATGTCTTGCAAATATTTATAGTTTTAAGACTATGCATTATGCATAAGCTGCGTGTGTCGGTTATATTCGTTTTAACTGATCAGTTTAACTGATCCGTTTTAACTGATCCCCCGTCTTGTGTGGATAAAAGAACACGCGTCTCCCAGTGTCCACCGTGGATTTCTTAGGGTGGATACATGGAATAACGCATTTGAGCGACAAAAACCAAAGTTTCAAAGAGTGTGCGATGCACCCCGTTCAAAATGGTACATTATTTCTAATAAGTAACATCTAAAGAAAAGAACAAATTTTTATTTAATGTAGATAACCGTTACCGTTACTGCTTACACCCAGTTAAAGTCCATTGTTGAATAAAGGCTTTCCCATATATTGCCTCCTAGGAGAGATATTTCTCATAGCCCACGCTTGGCGGGGTTGGCAACCGCAGTTTTTATTTTTAGTCGTGATTAGGAAGACACTGCTGCCCGTCTCCTGATCTGTTTCCCTCTGTCGCCTCTTACGACACCCACGGGATGATATGGGGTAGCGGATATTCTTACACTGCCACTAATGTCACTTCGTCGCCCATTATGTCAATTGTACACTCGGCTACTCAACTATCAGTTGATATTCAGTGAGAGCGTGATCCTATCCCGGTCGAGCTAACCCATTCATGCTACAACTATTATATTAAATACCACGTCAAAAATATTGTTTTTTTTTTTAAATAACAATCTTTTTAATAACAGAACTATGTTATTGTGTCAAGGTTCCTTAGCATTTCTTATTGTATTAGAAATCACGGATTCTTAAGCATGTGACTCTTATGAGAATGTCAAGTACTTATCGATCGCCTAGTCTTGACAATTGAAGGAAGCGTTAGACAAATTCAGCCTCTTTATGATCGAGAAGTGTTTTGTTAATACGAATTTTGAGAAATAAAATTTCTCATCTGATCAGTTTCATGGTACCGAGTTACAGTAACCTCTGTCCTGGGAAAAAACCCAGGGTAATATGGTCACCTTAAGCTTTGCCGCACTATAAAACCAAAACTAAGAGGACGACAGAGACGAAAATACAAATTATAATTAGTATATTAAGAAAAAAATAACAAACAAGCTTTGGCAAAAATTAGGAACACTTCGAAAAATCTACTTAGAAAAACTAATTTACACTATATACACTTATTAAACTATAAAAGTAAAAAATAAACGTTAATTTCTAGGAAACGGACAAGCGGCTTATTGTATTGCCTCAACTGAACCACGACAACAAGATCTACTCTGATTTGAAGGCCAAGGTCAAAAGGCATCTCCTGTCAAGTGAAAGTAGTCACCTGGTTTCGTCGCAGTCAAAGATATCGCCATCTTTGCCCAGTAAGACTGCTTCTATCAATGTAATAAAGCCATCTTTGAAGAAAAATAAATGAATGAAAATAATTTGTTATTTTTTACTAAAATCACCTTCACACAATAACAATTTTTGATACTCACAAACTCATCAAAACATTTAGAGTACGGTAACTTTCCGTTTACGTAGTCATGAATTTTGTCAAGAAGCGTGGTGTCCCATCTGAAGTAAAAAAAAGGTCCGAAACTCGTTAGTTTTTTTTTTTAATATATAAATGGATTTTAAATCTTTGGCACGTCATCCGTGGTTAGGGTTGCCACCTTGAACAAATAAGTATAAAATTTTTCAAAAAAAAAAACAAAAAAAGGATGCAAAAATGTACTTTTGAGAAATTCCGGAGAAAAAAGTACAGATTTATTTTTACTCTTTGTCTGTATGTACTCATAAATATGAATATATTTTTCCATATATGTTTCTCATTGCTCTTTGCTTTGGCCTACAGTGATCTAACCAATCTAAACTTCTACCTTACTTTGAAAATAATTATAGGAGTCTAAGATTCATATTAAAATAAATTTTTAATTAAATCAATGCATGTTTTTTTCTTTCTTCTTTTAATTTTACATTCATGTTGAAAAATTATTTCCGTAAAACATACTTGTTCCAGACTTCCAATCGCAGTTAATATGATAAGGCGACTGTTGAATTAGGTATAAAAATGTAGTATTTTTGGTACTATATTATATTTCTATAATATATAGTACAATTGACCGAAATATAGTATGATACTATATATTATAGTACGGGTGGCAACCCTATCCGTGGTGTAGATAGATATGTAGAAGGTTTTTCCCTCTACGATCAACGTTAAGTTTGTCTTTCAATCTGACTTACATTTTTAGAGCAATATTCGGTGCTAATTCTCATTTTCTCGGTTCCCTATTATTTCCTTATAATTAAGTTTATAGCCCTCAGGGCCTCAGGGGGCGAGTCCTACTCGCGCTTGTCCGGTTTTAAAGTCCTCGGCTATTATATATTCTGTGCCCCGACGCAAACAGAGGGATGTTATATGTTTAACGTGTGCATTTGTGTTCTTGTCAGTGAGATTACAGCTCCCAAGTGGATGAATCAATTTAGATTTAGTTTTCTTTTGTTTCAACGGTGACTTAATCGAGTGTTCTTAGGTATGATTAAAAAAATTTTTTAAGCCGTTTGAAGATCATGAGGTCTTTTTGTTTTGTTTTTTTTTTAAATTTTCAATTTAAGTTATTATTGAAATATCTAATTGCTTTAATTGCGATATCAAATTATATCAATATGATATCGCAATTAAAGCAATTGGCGATTGATTGAATAAAACAATTTGGAGATTTTAGGTACACGGTTTACTTGTACCTACCTCTCATTTTCAATGAAACAATTAAATAGATCCACGTAAACAAAAAAAGAATCGTTCAATGTCATTGAATGTTGCCTTTCCGTTGTCGGACTCTCAAACGAACGACTTGCTTTGACCAGATCTTCGGAGTAAAGTGCATTGATAGATCATTTTCTAGATACTGTGTAAACAGCATAGCATTATGTTTTCAAAATTAATCATGAATTGTGTAATAAAAATAGTAGGTACTGAATGAACTAATTTCACTATACTGGTTTGGAAGAAACTTCTGTGCCGGGAAAACCTAGCCAGAAATCCAGCGCCACTTTTTTCTAAACTGAGTGTTACCTACTTATAAATAGGCAACACTGTACACTAAAGTTTGTTGTGTAGCAACTTAACAACTTTTGGCATTCAAAAGTATTTAAAAAATTCACGGCAAAGTGGTTGCATAAAATGTTATTGCTATTATTATTTCACAGGCGTTTTTATGATTTAGCCGAATTTGAAATTAGAATGATACAAAATACTGAAGTTTGAATTTACGCGTCCATTAAGATACTTATGAAATCGAGAAATGTAGCTCCTAAATTAAACTCTTAGATACGACACGCTTGTGCACTATAAAACTTATTAATATAAGCTCTTGGTTCATACCGTTCCCGTGGTCTAGCCAATATGTGGCAAAAGTGGAACACCATGGGATTTATTCGGTGCAAGACCAAAATATCTCGTCCTTATGCCTGCGAGCGAGTATGCGTAGGCGTTATACGATGAAAAAAGAATTTCTTCGTTATTACACTGAGGGTGATGATTGCCCGTCTTAAGTTCAGCACGAGACACTTTTTCACCTCCTATCTATTAAGGTCACCATAGAGTTCACCAAAAGCCGTTTTCTGTTTTAAAGGGATAGAGTAGAGACTCTCTATTAAAGAGACAGTATAATGACAGGATATGATGTATTCCATTCCATCTTAGTTATAAAGTGACAACGCATTATTTCCATTACTTTGTTTTGGTTGCTAAATGAGCACACGGTTCACCAAATAGTAAGTGGATGCTGTGATCCATAGACATATATCCTGAACTAAGAGTCAAAATGCAGATGTGTTGTCTTGTAAACCTGAGTAAGACGAAATGCCTCGTTATTAGTAAAAAGCGTCTCCAGTTCTCTAGACTCTATTGCTATTTCACACTAGTATTCCGTGAGAGCGGAACGTATTCTACTCGAGCCAACCTGTTCGTGTTACAACTGTATAGCTGCGGTATGGCTCTACATACTTGGTACTTTTATACCGTTACTTTTAACGTTACAGCCTATTTAAGTACACTGCTGAACTATAGGTCCATAGATTTTATCATAAGTGATACACCTTCCATAGTTGCCATGCTTGGCAAGCGGGTTGGCAACCGCAGTTTTTATTTTTAGTCGTTATTAGGACGACGCTGCTCCCCATCTCCTGATTTGTATCCCTCTGTCATCTCTTACGACACCCACAGGATGATATGAGTTAGGTATTATTCTTATTCCGCACGGTACTAGTACTTTTATAAATAATTTTAAAATCAACTCCATTGCAAGTTTGTCTGTCGGCCGCTCGACGAGAATGACCAGTGTCAGAAGTGTAAGACGTCTGAATCTATAATCGTCAATCCTTCCAACAAGCGTGGTAATTATAGCACTCTTCCTACAATGGGAAATGTAGATATGTCTATATGGGCTATAGCATTCACTTAACATCAGGTGGACTGTGTGCTCGTTTGTTGCCCTTGTTCTATAAAAATATGAGCTCTTACAACTTTGCAGTAGAAGTACGAACGTGGTACCGACACAAGTGAATTACAGGAAAACAAATTACTTACTTTAGAATTTTCACAACACGTGCAAACGTATGGATGATATGAACTGAATATAAATACGTAATATATTTATTGTAAAATTATACAAACGTGTTTACGTTGGTGTGAGTTCCAAATTGAATCATAGAGGAGCTAGACAATACATCCGTCCGTTCGTTGATCTCTAATGTGACATCTGCAGCGGAAGTAAAGGCGCGTGCGCAGGAAGTCGGACGCCATGTCGGGAATGGCAAGTGGCATCATGTCATTCCGTTTAGGAACCAATAATATACAGAGCTGTTTTGATAGTATCCGCCATATTGTTAAGATAATGAGTTAAAGAGAGAGTAAAAACCTTTAAAAGCCGATTTTAAGGAACTCAAATGAATAAAATAATTTCATACTTTGAAGTTGGTGCGTAGATATAGTGCATAGAGGAATTAAGGCCCCTATTTCAGTATGTAAAATTATTTAATTCTTTTTAATATTTGAAGTCCGTTTAAACTATTAAATAAAAGATTATTTTTAAGTAAGCTTTTAGAATGGAAGTCCTATAATGTAGTTATATTAAAACTCATTCCCTATTTTGCCACCCTAAAGGATGGATATTTTCCACACTTATATGGGACCACTGCAGAAGTAGGTAATTAAAATATTTGATAAAAATAGAATCAACAAAATCGGTTAAAAATTGACGAAGATATCGCGTAACATACATCCAAAGAATTTATAGTTGAATTGAATTGAGAAAGAAAAGAAAAGAGTTTTTTTAGTCGGCTAAAAGATAAGAAACAGTTATTTAAAAAAATAAACATTTTCATTTTGAATAAAGTAAAAAAGAACTAAACATAGTTATTATAAACATACAGTACACAAACAAACCCTGCGAAGTGACGAGGTCAAAGATGCCTACTAAATTCATTGTTTTATTACCGTTCGTAAATTAGGATGGATATAATTTGAATTTCGATAGATTTTAATTAATTAATTAATTTAAATAAAAAATTTTGTGTTAATTTTTTGTAAAATATTAGTGCCATAGGCTTATATTGCGTTCACATGTTACACCCTATTTTTCCAGACGGTAAAAAGGTCATTCTATATATATAAGAAAAGTAATGATTTCTTAAGATAATAGAGTAAGTCAGCTCAAATTCTAATTTCGTCCCCACTTGCCCGCGCGTCGTATGCTATGTACCGACATGTTTGTAATCACTAATACTGTAAGTAGAAAGGTCGTTAGATACTTATTTCATTAGGTTTATCATATTTATGCCTGTTTCTTAACGCCAACCCAGCCGCTTCTTATTTTTATAACGGTTATTTCCCATTTTAATTTTACGTCGTCCTGTTGCGTAATGTATATTCTGATCGTAAGCGACACAACTTCTCCCTTCAAAAGCCGGAGCGGTACTAACGGGGCGACAGGAATCAAGCTTACGCGCCGATAGTTTAGGTAATTTCTTTTTACAGTGAAAATAATGGTATTTTAAAAAAAGTAAATAACATAACCACTGCTTTATAGTTAGTCCAGTTAGTATGCAAAGTTTCATGATCTTATTTAAAGTATTTTATAAATAACAGCGGTTTATTGTTCATTTTGGAGGTAACTTTGGATTTTTTTTCGAGAAAATTTTACGAAATCGTGTTTTCGTCTAACATAATCCTTAACATTAATCCTCAACTTTACCATATATTAATTTCAAAATTAATGCTGCAATATTTTCGGCATAACGAAGGATCTTGCTAAGCCATTTGACACTATATTTCCCCTTAATATTATATTATATATTATTCAAATCCTTATGGCATCAGCGACGAGTCTGCGACATACACATTTACTATGGCGAGGAAAAAATACA